ACGAGAGAGCTACACGTATTCTACTAAATGGTATGCGAGTGTTTTATATAAGTGACGTGCTAACGAAGTGTGTAACAGGCGGTAAATAAAGAACCTATAATTACGAGCGGCGAAGGTGAGAGAGAGAGAGAGAGAGAGATGGAGGGGAAAAGGGCCCACCCACGAGTACCAGCGGCGGCAGTTGTGAGTCCCATGGCAAAGGGAAGAGCCCGATCGTCTACTTGCCGGAATCAGAAGGAAGAGACCGCCGTACCCGCCCGAGGACGAACATCTGGGTCAATCGAGCTAGTTATTATCAAGTGAAGAAACATAAGGATGAAGGGGACGTCGGCGCGACCGTCCTTCTTATTGCTCGTTTCGCGGCGGCGCGGATTAATGGGCGTTTAATAACGGTGGACGAGTTACGCACCTGAAAGGAGGACCGGGATCTCTCTCCCTTCCTTCTATATCCCCGGGGAGAGAACCTTTTCTTAGAGCGCGTTTACGATACTACAGAAACGTTTACGTTCTCGCGTCGAATCGCTTATAACATATTCTCTTCGAAAAACTCTTTGAGAGTTTTTGCATCATAAACCGCGAGAGGGGAAAGCGCATAGAGCGCGGCAGATACTTGATCGAAAAAAATATCAAACGCATTAAAAAAGGTAGACGTCATCATCTCTCTCGCTATGGCGTAAGTAAGGATCAACTTGATAGAGATTAAAGAGTTTCAATTTCACGAATTGTATTTATTATTCATCGTTTTTGACGTTATTAAGTCTTACCTCGTAATACGGCATTTCGGATCCCGCTGTGCCATTTAACTTTTATTTAAAACTTGATGTCGACTATGATGCGGTTAATATTCGCGATTAAATGCCCCGGGGGGGCTTCGGGGTGTCGGAGAAATTTACGACGAGACGCGTCGCAAAAGGAGCAAAGACGAGGCTCGCCCGTCGTTATCACGCGGTGAGTTTTGCCCGATCATGTTTACGGAGAGATCCCGCGCAACGCGTGGCGGATACGCGCTTGTTCGCGTCGGAGCGAACAAAAAAAAAACGGTCGACGGACAGACGCTTCCTCTTCCCCTCACCCTTTCGTGATCACCGCGAGGCAAGAAGCTCGCGTTCGAGTTGCGTGAGAACATAGATCGGAACGAGGAGAGAAACTTTATGGTTTCTCCCCGAGTCTGCCCTCCCGATTGGCATCATCAGGGGAACCGACCGTCTTCTCTTATTTCGTATGCAGGTGCTCAAATCGCAAACGTCAAAAAAAAAGCCGAAAGTCGCAAAATTCACTCCGGAAAAATTCGTCGTCTTTCTACCTGGCCTCCTATCGAAATCGTCTTATATTCGCGAATTAATTTTCGTTTGTATTTTCCCTCTCTGTCACTTAATTTATTAATTCGATCCATGAAATCAATTGTAAGATGCTTTCGTCGTTTCGAGATCCACGATGGCAAAGGAATTCTCTCTCTCTCTTTCTCGATGGGAGGTCCATTCGACATAACGACAGTCGGTGATAACGACGGCGACGTGGCCATGAATGTCTTACGTGAACGGCGACGTCAACGAGTGTCATATGTTCATGCTCGCTAAAATCGCGGCGTCACGCCGCAAAATGCCAGACATCGCTCATTAGCCCATTATCGCGCTAATGGTACGTCTGCTATTACTATTTCTACTATTACTGCTAATATTATCACTACCTTGGCTGTAGATTGTCCGTTTTCTATTTATATACAATTGGCGAAATGTTAGAGAAAAGACTGTAATTATATGCAGGAATATCCACAAATATTCTCTCCCTTGAGAATTCACGGTTTTCTCAATTATATAGTTTAATAAAAAATAACTTTTTTTTTTTTAACATGACAAATTCATTTTCCGTAGTATTTTTTTAACGCTGAATATGGTTTCGGCTTCGAAACTGCTCCATCATGTCACAATTTTGAATTTTGCGATCAAAGTTGCAAAAAAAGGATTATTTTAATGAATTTTATCATGTTACAGCTACATTTTGTAGAAAATATAGAATTACATGAACAAGAAGTGTAAAATTATTAAAATATTTTATTACAGCACACGGTATGTAATATATTGGAGACATTTTATTGCGATCACATACAAAGTTATGTATGATTCATAGAATATTTATAGTATATTACAGAAAAGTTACGAATTAGATTATCTATCAAATGGTTTTCAATTATGTTTATTGAATTTTAACTTTCTTCTAACTTGCCAGCTGAAAGTCTTAACAACACATACTCAACTTTAAACGCAATACAACTTTTCCACGTCTCATATATTGTAAACTATAATATGAAGAAATGGATTAAATAATTTTTGCAACTTTAACGACAAATATCTCAAAATCGCGACGTGATAGAGCTATTTGAAAGCCGAAATCATATTTAACACAAAAAAAAATATGAGAAATGATTATTCTCTTTCTTATATTATTTTTTTTTTTTTTTGTTGAATTTTTTTTTATTATTATTGAGATTTTCGGTCAATTTATCTTATCTTTACGAAAGGAACATGGTAAGTATTATATTATACTATGTGCGTTTTAGGTTTGACATGCTCTAAATTCTACTGCTCGTCTCGGTATATCGGCCTCCAGCTGGAGCTACGTCCGGCGGACGTGCCAAGAGTCCAAGTTCGACCTAATGAAATCGACGTGCGAAGCGCTTTAAAGCGCGATCATAAAACCAAACGAGCGCGGGGAGACGTCGTCGGATCGAGCACTCTCTAACCAGACGGCGAGCCAGACAAGGCGACACTATATATAAAGTAGGTTTATGGACTCTTACTACTTATAGTCGATCCGCGCGGCCAAGTTTTTCGGCCCTTCGTGCTTTTAACGGCGCGCTTTACAGCAGCAGCACCGTAATCGGATTATTCTGATACGACGGCGCCTCACACATATATATACACACGAGTTATACCGCCAATCGCGTCGCTGCACTCACCTGAAACAGAAAAAGAACCGCAAATTAATTATAATCGATGCCTAAAACACAGAGAGTGGAGACAAAAATTTCACTAATTATGCCCGATATATCCTACGAGCGTTTTTTTAAACTTTACCAATAGAATTACGTATCTTTGTCGATATATGTCGAAAACAATTCTCACCGCTATTATTTTATCGCAATTATTTTTTAACCGGGTTTCACGTGCCTCCCCCACCTCCCTCCAAATTTTTCAAACGTTTGACAATGTTCCGCCGGCTCATCCCTGTCAGACCAGACATTGAAAAGGGTAACAACGATACGATGTTTATCCAAGGGGAGAAACAGAGAGAGAGAGAGAGAGAGAGAGGGAAAAGAGATCTCTACGTAACGTTCAGCGTACCTCGGCTTACGTAACACGCGTAGCCGAAGGAAAGGGTCCTAACTGTTTGCTCGGCCGCAATGCTATCTGTTTCGATACGTGTGTTTGCAGTTCCCATGTTGACAGGCGCACTATGCTTCGGCCTCACGAGCTTGACGAATCGTTTATATATTTACTCGTCATGGATGCGTTTACACGCACGTATAGACGATCGCACATGAAGCGCGCGCACGATGCACGCGCGCGAGCACGACTATGTCGGCACGCGCATAAAAATTCCTCCTTTTCGAAACTGATTAAACAGGATCCTCTTTATCTTCCTAATATATTATATAAGGGAAAAAAGAGAGAAAGAGAGAAAAAATACATCTACCAAAAAATCTATACATTTATTTTATAGCAAATGAACGCGCTGCGTTTTATCAAAATTAATAATTTTTATTTTTATATTTTTGTAGTTTTTTTCGGTAGATAAGTCAGTTTAAAGGCCAATTTTTCTCAGATTTTAATTTATTTTTCCGTTTGCATTAAAAAAAGCTACTATGCTCAAAAGTTTGAAACAGTAATATCAAATCTCCGTTAATCATCACAAGAAATAAATTTCTGATGTATAGCATAATTAAGTGTTAATTTATTGAATTTATTGAATTTATCATTTCTACCAATTAGCAGAAAATTGATATTAATAAAAGTGATATATTAGAAATGATCGCAAATTAAATATATTACAATTAAATTTCAAAAATATTACATTTTTGATGCAAATGCATCAACACGAAATACTATAATATTATATAACAGTAAAGTAATTAAAAAGTAAGAAGAGAGAGAAAAAGTTAACAATATTAACTTGATATCAAGATGTTTTTCTAGTTCCACATTTATTGCTCGTGAAATAAGTTTAAAAAGTAATGAAAAACGTTTCAACGTCGTTATAAGAACAATTTATGTCATTGCAATTAATTGAGCTTCTTCGTTTTTGATATTGAAATATTTCTCAAATTATTTATTCTCAAGATATATTAATACCAAATTTATTAACGTTTAATTTGGAAAAAGGTCCCAAACGATATGATATTGCTAAAGTAGGTAAATATTAGGGCAACAACGTCACGTTTAATTTTTTTACTAATTGACAACATCGATAAATCGTCGGAATTAGAGAAACAAATTGGTAATT